ACTAAAAATATAAAAAATTAGCCGGGCATGGTGGAGCATGCCTGTAGTCCCAGCTACTCAGAAGGCTAAGACAGGAGAATCGCTGGAACCCAGGAGGCAGAGAGTGCAGTGAGCCAGGATCACACCACTGCACTCCAGAGCGAGACTTTATCTCAAATTAAAAAAAACCAAAAACCTCCTTTCCAAAGTGGTTGTACCATTTTAAATCTATCAGCAATGTATGCAAGTTTCAACTGCTTCACAATCTCACCAGCACTGTCACTGTTTTAGCTATTCTAGGGGTGAAATGGTATTGTGGTTTTAATTTGTATTTCATTAATCACTAAGGATTCCAACCATTTTTTTTTCATGGCTTATTTGCCATTTATGTATCTTCTTGGGGAAGTGTCTGTTCAAATCTTTTGCTGATTTTTTGGGGGGTTGTTTTTCTTCCCCACTATAATGTAAGCCCTGTAACTTATCTTACTTATTGTTGTTGGTTTTTTCATCACTATAAGACAGTGTTTGATATAGTGATCTTCATAAACACGTACTGAGAGAATGAACTATCTTATCCATTCACATTTTTTAGATAACGAAATTGCATCCAAAGAGTAAACACCTCGCTCAACATTACACAGTAATTAATGACAAGGCCAGGGTTGAAACTCAGTTCCTTCTTTTTTTTTTTTTTTTGGAGATGGAGTTTCACTCTTGTTGCCCAGGCTGGAGTATAATGCCGCAATCTCGGCTCACTGCAACCTCCGCCTCCCGGGTTCAGGCGATTCTCCCACCTCAGCCTCCTGAGTAGCTGAGATTATAGGCACACGCCATCAAGTCCGGCTATTCTTGTATTTTTAGTAGAGATGGGGTTTCTCCATGTTGGTCAGGCTGGTCTCGAACTCCCGACCTCGGGCGATCCGCCCGCCTTGGCCTCCCAAAGTGCTGGGATTACAGGCGTGAGACACCGCGCCCGGCGAAACTCAGTTCTAATACCTCACGTCTTTAGAGGAAAAAAGGTTTTAAAAAATTAAAATACAGTTGTTACTTCAGCTTAAGGGTACAAACTAGGTCTGTTTATTTTTTGCATACTAAGCAGCTGGCACAGGGTAGTGTTCTTTTAGTGGGGGAGAAGAGTCAACCAATGAATCAGATTGTTTCAAATATTGATAAGGATTGTGAAGATATTAGAGGAATTCTGCTAGTTCTAACAGATAATTCTAAGAATAGTCATGAAACTGTTCAACTTATCAGCTACATCACTTTAATCAATTAAAAAAGGCAACACTTTAAAAATCTTCTTAGCTGTATTACAGATAAAAAGAAAATATCATTTTATTTGCTCCTTAACTTGCAACAGCCTTTGGAATGCGGCATGTCACTGTTCAACATGGTAGCCATTAGCTACATGTGGCTTTTTATTTTCGAAGTAAAATTAAGTAAAATTACAAATTCAGTCCTTAAGTTGCACTAATTATATTTCTAGTGCTCAATAACCACATTTGGCTACTGGCTACCATACTGAACACAGATTAGAACATTTTTACCACTGTGAAAGTTCTATTGGAACTATTCTTCTCTATATAACAGTACATTGACTAATTGGCTAAAATTAAAACATATTCCCTTAAACTGGATCCTTTCCAATCAAGTTTTTCCTGCTACTGATTACCTTGGTTTTTACTTCTAAATTTTGTACTCAGCTGTGGTTCTGGCACCAACAAAACAGAATTATGACTGGAATACACTCTGTAGATGAGCTCTTTGGCTAAAAATTAGATTAATATTCAGAGATATCCAACATGCTTAGCTGAGCTGTTAACTTATCACATGCAGCAAAACATTTAGCATATAGAAAACATAAGCACTTCTACTTACCACTAAGATCATTTATGTGGTTGTATGATAAATTTAGTCTGGTCAGATTAATTAGTTCTTCAAGTCCTAAAAAAAAAAGTAAAATAAAATAAAGCCTTTATAAAATTTAAATAATTAATTAGAGAGATATAGCATTACAATGTTATTTCAGACTGTTTCAGTCTGGTAACAGCAAAATCACTTTTATTGGCATTTAGAAAAAACAGAATTTTAAAAAAATTGACACTTTTTTGGAGAAAATATTTTGTATAATGAGTTTTGGACTCAATTTTTAAGAGTTTCTGATAATATTTATTCCATTCTTTTGGGAAAAAAAAGGACCTAAATCATTTTCCTTATGTTAAGTGTTATATGAAAATCGCTTACAAACCTTCTACTTTTGTAATCAAATTGCAGGACAAATTTAATGTGCAAAGTTTTGTCAGTGTGTTTAGCCCTTCAATTCGACTTATTTGATTAGATGACAGATCTAGATGTCGTAAATTCCAAATATGATCAATGGCTTCGATCTTGGAGATGTTATTGCAATGAAGATTGACGGCATGAAGAGTTGAATCTAAAGATAATTCTGATATGCTACAAAAGAAAATATATATTATTAAAAAAAAGATTTTAAAAGCATGACCAAATAACTAAAATTAACCAAACAGCATGCAGATACTAAATATGTGCTCTATTCATTCTAGAATGAAATCTTTCCTATTTGTGGTACCTTTGAAATGTCTCACAAAACACAGTGCTTCTTACAACACAACCAAGTATTTTGGATTATTTATACAAACGAGAAACCGCCCAAGGGAGGCAAGTGACAGTGGGCATTTCTAACTCCTATATGCAGTCATCAGCATATATTGAAGGCAGTGCTGAATAATAGTTAATAACTGTAAAGGCTTTGGAATCTTAATATCCCAGTTTGAATCTGCATTCTACCACGGTTTTGCTGTGATTTGAGCAAATGACAACTTAAGCCTCAGTTTTCTGACCTCAATTAATTCTCACAATAACTCTAAGCAGTGGGTATCTTAAGGATACCGAAGTGTATAGAAATTAAATAGCTTGCCCAAATTCTTGCAGTGATGTTAACAGAGCGTATGTCAATCCAGATCTCATGCTGGAGATTATAACTTTATTTTCTTCTTCGTGTGCAATAGCTATTTAATCCACAGTCCATTGCATTTTCAAAAAGAAACCATGTTATTGCAATTTCTGTTGAAAAAGTCCCTATTCTCCCTTGTTGAAAGTTAATGGATCTCCCCTAAACAGAACTCATCTCTTCACTCCAATTACTATTTAAAACTGAAGCTTCTCCTGAAGACAGTAGTTCCAGGAACATAAACTACAGTGCACACGGTTTGGAGTTGCTGGATGGGAGATACAGCCAGGAACAGGGACACACAATGTCATGGGCATCTGCTGTAGGTTCAGTAGCAGCTATCTTACAGCTGTAGGAAACTTAACTCTGACAGCAGGGAAGCATTTGCAAATTTCAGACTAGCAACCTTTAAATGTTACTATCTGGAGCATTTCGCAATTATCCCGCCCTGTCATTTACTTGAGTTCTTTCTTAGTGCCAGACCTTATGCTATCAACACATGCTCTTAATGACAGTTATTTATTTTCTGACACATTTCAGTTTCTCGACATTAATAATGTGCAGATAATGTGAGATCGTAGAAAAAGCACAGTGAAATTAGACGGAAAATGGGTTTGAATCCGAACTTCATTCTTTACGAAGTGTTTAAAGATGAACAAATTGTCAATAGACTCTGAGTCTCACTCATCACTTGTAAATGAGAAAAATTACTACCTTGTAGAATTACCGTGAGGATTAGTGATAATGTATATAACATGCACACACAGATGGCATTCAGTAAATGGCAGCTAGTATTAAATAGAAATGTAAAATGTCCCTTGAACACCATCTTCTTGGGATCATCTGGCAAAGTTTAAATCAGAATCCAGAACAAGATGTTTAATTATCAGTAGCAAAGTTCGCGTAGAGGACACGCTGCAAAGGAACAGCATATGCAAAGGCACAGAGAAGTCTGCTATGGAACTGCCTGTAGCTCAGTACAGCTAAATAAAGTGTAAGTGGAGAAATGTTAAGAGTCGAGACTAAAGAGCCTCAAATGCAGGCGGAGACCTGCTTTACAGAATTGCAGAACCAAGTGCCTCATACGCTTTGCACAAGTCGGGGCTTCGTGAGAGGGAAACGGTGAACTAAATATAGTAAGTTTAGTACTTTCAAAAAGTATATGACTATATGTATTGCAGTGTTCTGTAACAGACAAATGATTTCGAATGGAGGCAAGGAGAATTGAGGCAAAACTAACAGGCAGCTGCGACTGCCCGCTCATAGCTGCCAGAGATACTATCCTGCAGGTTTTTTTTCAGAGGGAAGAAGAGGAAAGACGAGAGAACACGAGAAAACCAACAATTAAACGGCAAGCAAAGGAATAAGTAAGTAAGCAAAACCAGCAGAAGGAAACAGTGGTCATAAGCTGGTGGAGGACAAGGTCTTGGGGCAGTTTCAAGGCTAAGCAGAGTCGTATGAAATGCTGGGCAGGAGACAGGGGCGGCAAGACATCCATCCATGGCTCATTCAACCTGGCACTTCGGCAGAGTAGTTCTGGAGAAGTGGGGAGGCCGAAAGCCAGATTGCGTTCACTTATGGTCTTGGTAAAGCAATGCCGCGCCTCCGCTCCGCTGTCGCCGCCAGCCACCCACGGCCCCGGCCCTGGCGAATGCGCGGGTCGCTCCCAGCTGCGGAGCGCCCTTTACCTCTGCAAGCCTTTGTCCATGAAGCATACATCCCCGCAGCTGCTGTCGCCGTCTTCGTTTTCCACTTCCGCCTCCGCCGCCGCCGCCGCCGCCGCCGCAGCCTCCATAGCACCGGCGACGGGGAGCAGGGTCTTAACCGGCACCCAGCGAGGGGTCCCGGAGCTTAGGACACGCCTCCCGGAAGCGCGGAAGTGCGGCCCGAGGGGGCGGAGCGAGGACCCACCCTCCAACTGACAGCCGGGAACTTTCCCGCCCTGACGGCGCCGCAAAACTGGAATCCTCGTCCCCACCGTGGAGTTCTTTCCCTTTTACGGCATCTGCGGGTGCGACTCTTCAACTTGCTGTAAAGTGAAACTGCTTCCCGGGCGTGTAGGAGTTGGAGAATGAGTGGATTTGTCCTGTGTACCTAGTAGCCGACTGACTTCTGAATGCGGTTTTCACAGGGTTTGGCTTTACGTTCCTTTACATAGTCTTACATACCTATAAATTGTTCCACTGGCCATTGCACCTCCTGTTGATTCATTGAACATTTGTGGGATGCCTTACTGTATGTAGTCACATCCCTGTATGAGGAAGAAAAAGATGAAACTTATTCTTGTTCCTGGAAACATTCACAGTTCAATAGAGGAAACAGAATTGCCATACAGTATGACGAATGCTAAGAATAACACAAGGACATCTAAACCAACTCTAGAGTGATATTGGTAGTGGGTACGTTTTCTAAAGGAAGTGATTGATGACTGAATAGAGTCTTGCTGGGTCAAGGGGAGCTCTGGATGAATGGCATTACAGGTGGGAAAGCAATACCTGTATGAGGTCAAATAACCCTCCTGGCTAGATTGCTTCCTAAGGCATAGTAATATTTTAAAACGGAGAAAATGGTGCAGTAGTCCATTTGAAGTGGTCTATTTCCTTTTGAAATAACTCATACAGACAAAAATAAAAAAGATGTTTTAAAAAATGAGCAAAGCCCACACGACATATAGGACACCATAAAGTGACCAAATATTCAAAATTTTGGAGTCTCAGAAGGCAAAGAGAAAACAATAGAGTTAGAAACGCGGTTCAACAAAATACTATATGAAAACTTTCCAAGTCTAGCAAGAGATTTAGACACCCAGGCACAGGAGGCCCAAAGATTCCCAAACAGATACAATGAAAAAAGGTTTTCTTAAAAAAAAAAGATTCATCTTATTTTTTATTTTAGATTCAGGGGGTACATGTGCGGGTTTGTTACATAAGTATATTGCATGATGCTGAGTTTGTGGCTTCTAATGATTCTGTAACCCAAATAGTAAATATAGTACTTGATAGGTGGTTATTCAACTTTTGCCTTCTCCCTTTTGGAGCCCCCAGTGTCTATTGTTCCCATCTTTGTGTTCATGCATATCCAATGTTTAGCTGCCACTTAGAAGTGAGAACATATAGTATTTGGTTTTCTGTTTCAGTGTTAATTCACTTAGGATAATGGCCTTCAGCTTCATCCATATTGCTGCAAAGGACATGATTTTGTTCTTTTTTATGTCTGCATGTTGGTGTATATGTGCCACATTTTCTTTATCCAGGCTATCATTGATGGGCATCAGGGTTCATTCCATGTCTTTGCTACTGTGCTGCAATAAACATAGGAATGCAGGTGTCTTTTTGGTAAAATAATTTATTTTTCTTTGGCTAGATACCTGGTCATGAGATTCCTGGGTTGAATGATAATTCTATTTTTAGTTCTTTGTGAAATCAACAAACTGCTTTCCACCATGACTGCAATTTGCATTCCCACTGATGGTGTGTAAGCATTCCTTTTTCTCTGCAACCTCACCAACAGCTCATATTTTCTGACTTTTTAATAAAAGCCACTCTGCTGCAAGATGATATCTCATCATAGTTTTGATTTGCATTTCTCTGATTATTAGTGATGTTGAGCATTTAAAAAATATGTTTATTGGCTGCTTGCATGTCTTCTTTTGCAAAAAAGAAAAGAAGAAGTCTCCTTTATGGCCCATTGTAGTCAAACTGTTAAAAGTCAAATACAAAGAATTCTGAAAACAGCAAGAGAAAAATTAGTCATTTATAAGGGAACTCTCAACAGACTAACAGTGGGTTTCTCACCAAAAACTTTACAAGCCAGCAGAGACTGGGATGATAAATTCAAAGTGTGAAAGAAAGAAAAAAAAAAAGCCAGCCAAGGACACTGTAATCAATAAAGTTATCCTTCATAAACGAAGGAAAAATAAAGGCTTTCCAAGATAAGCAAAAGCTGAGGGAATTCATCACCAGTCGACTGGACCTACAAAAATGCTCATGGTAGTCCTACATACGGAAACAAAAGGACAATATTTACCAGCATGAAAACACACAAATATAGAAAGTCCACTGGTAGATCAAACACACAAATAAGAAAGAGAAAGGACTCAAATATTACCATTACAGAAAACCACCAAACTACAATCATAAACAACGATAGAGATGCAAAGGAACAAGGAATATACAAAAATAACCAGAAATCGATTAATAAAATGGCAGGAATAAGCCCTCACATATCAATCATAACCTTGAATGTAAATGGATTAAATTTTCCACCTGAAAGATATAGCTTGAATTAATGGATTAAAAAATGACCCAACAATATTCTGCCTAGAAGAAACTCATCACACTTGTAAAGACACATATGGACTGAAAGTAAAGGGAAGAAAAAAGATATTTTATGCAAATGGAAACCAAAAGCCAGCAGGAATAGCTATATGAATGTTAGACACAATAGACTGTAAGTTAAAAAAGAGACAAGAAAGGTCATTATGTAATGATAAAGGGATTGGGCACAGTGGCTCACGCCTGTAATCCTAGCACTTTGGGAAGCCGAGGCGGGCAAATCGCCTGAGCTCAAGAGTTTGAGACCAGCCTGGGCAACATGGTGAAACCCCGTCTCTACTAAAATACAAAAAATTAGCCAGGGTTGACTGCATGTGCCTGTAATCCCAGCTACTCAGGAGGCTGAGACAGGAGAATCACTTGAACCAGGGAGGTGGAGGTAGCAGTGAACCAAGATCACACCACTGCACTCCAGCCTGGGCAACAGAGTGAGACTCCATCTCAAACAAACAAACAAACAAAAGATCAATTCAGCAAGATGATATAACAATTCTAAACATATATGCTGTCTACACCAAGGCACCCAGATGTATAAAGCAAATATTATTAGATCTAAAGGGAGAGAGCGATTCCAACACAATAATAGTAGGGAAAATTTAAGCACCCCATTCTCAGCATTACATAGATCATCTAGACAGAAAACAATAAACGAACGAACAAACAAACAAAAAATGTTTAATTTAAACTGCACTTTATACCCAATGGATCTAACAGACATTTACAGAAAATTTCATCCGAGAGCCAGAGAATACACATTTTTCTCATCAGCATAGGGAGCATTCTCCAGGATAGACTATATTTTAGAACACAAAAAATGGCTTAACAAAATTTTTAAAAATTAAATAATGCAAAGTGTCTTCTCAGACTCCATTAAAACAAAACTAGACATCAATTACAAGAGGACCTTAAGAAACCGCACAAATACATGGAAATTAAAGCTCATGCTCCCAAATTATTGAGCGAGAAAGAAATTAAAGAGGAAATCAAAAAATTTTTTAGACCAGTAAGAATCAAAACACAACATACCAACATGTCTGGGATACAGCAAAAGCAATGCTAACTGGGAAATTTATAGTAATTAGTGCCTATGTCAAAAAAAGTAGGAAAGATTTCAAATAAACAATTTAATGATGCACCTCAAGGAACTAGAAAAGCACGAAGAATCCCAACCCAACATTAGGAGAAGAAAAGAAATCATGAAGATCAGAGTGGAGCTAAATGAAATAGAAGCTTAAAAAAATACAAAGGATCAACAAATTTTTTTTTAAAAAAGGATGAACAAAATTGATAACATGCAAACAAAATTCACTAGCTAGACTAACCAAGAAAAAAAGAAGATACAAGTAAACAAAATCAGAAATGAAGAAGAAGGCATTAAAACTGATGCCACAGAAATACAAAAGAGTGTCAGAGACAATTATGAACAACTGTATGGTAATGAACTGGAAACCCTAAAAGAAATGGTTGAATTCCTTGATACATACAACCTACCAAGATTAAACCAGGAAGAAATAGAAAACCTAAACAGACCAATAATTAGTAGCTAGATTGAATCAGTAATAAAAAGTCTTCCAACAAAGAAAACTCCAGGACTGGATGGCTTCATGCTGACTCCCACCAATTTTTCAAAGAAGAACCAAAGCCAATTCTCTTCAAGCTATTCAAAAAAATTGAACATGAGGTAATTATCCCTAACTCATTCTCCAAGACCAGCATTACACTGATACCAAAACTAGACAGGGATGCAAAAAGTAAAGAAAACTACAGGCCAATATCCCTGATGAACAGATGGAAAAATACTCAATGAAATACTAGCAAACTGAATCCAACAGCACATCAAACAGATACTAAATGATCGAGTGGAATTTATTCCAGGGATGCAGGAATGGTTCAACATATGCAAATGAACACATGTGATACATCATATCAACAGAATGAAGGACAAAATCCATATGATCATTTCAGAAGATGCAGAAAATGCATTAGATAAAACTTAGTCTTTTCATAATACAAAATCTCAACAAACTAGGCATAGAAAGAACATACTTCAATATAATAAAGGCCATATATGAAAAACTCACAGTTAACATCATACTGAATGGGAAAAAGCTGAAATCTTTTCCTCTAAGAACTGGAACAAGACGAGCGTGCCCACTTTCAGCACTTGTATTTGACATACTACTGGAAATTATAGCTAGAGTAATCGGCAATATAAAGAAATAAAAAGATACTGAAATTGGAAAAGAGAAAGTTAAATTGTCCCTGTTTGCAAATGGCATAACCTTACATCTAAAGAAACTTTAGGATTCTACCAAAAAACTCTTAGATCTGAAAAATAAATTCAGGAAAGTTGCAGCATAGAATTTCATCATACACAAATGTAGCATTTCTATACACTAATAATGAACAAGCTGATAAAGAAACCAAGAAGGCAATCCCATTTACAATAGCTACAAAAATAAAATACTTGGAAATAAATTTAGCCAAGGAGGTGAAAGACAGCCTTTCTCTGCAAGAAAAGCTACAAAAGACTGATGAGGGAAATCGAAGAGGACACAGTCAATTAGAAAGCCATCTCAAGCTCACGTACCAGAAGAATCAACCTTGGCAAAATGACCATACTGCCCAAAGCAATCTACAGATTTAATGCAATCTCTATCAAAATGCCAACGTCAATTTTCACAGAAATAGAAAAAAGAATCATAAAATTGGTGTATAGAATCAACAAAGGGCTTGAATAACTGAAGTAATCCTGAGCAAAAGGAATAAAGCTGAAGGCATCACACTACCTGACTTCA